ACAAATACGCTTGAAATGGAGTCTTTATTTAGTTACAGCCTTAATAAAGTTTAGGTAAAATTGCTTCACCGAACTAGTGATTGTATTTGAATAGAATACTTTCCTGTTTAAAACAGTCTCTACTTTAAAAGAAAAGTGAAAAAAGTTACAGCTGCAGCATGTTAAACTGTTCATATTTGAATGCAGCTGAGCACAGATACATCAGTGCGACTATTCGTCATGCATAAAAATTCCTGTGTAGTGTCAATTTTTATCTTTTTCACGATCGTCGGCGTAAACATCATAGTTGGAAACTTTAATTAAAAAAGTTTTGTAACTTTAATCTGAGCACTATTAAAGCTATTAATCTAGTTTATCAACTAAATAGTAAAAAAATATGACTAGTTTTGTAATAATAAAAAATTGTTGACCAAACAGTTTCACGCTTAATTGATAAAAGCATTTTTGAAATAAAACAAGGGTTTTAAAATTATTTTACTAGGTTAATGTACAATGACAAGTGAGAATTAAACTTGAAAAGATAAAGTCTAAGGAATACCCGATTTAATTTGTTCTTTACTTTGCTTTTTAAGTGTTGTCAAGGAGTTTTTGGGACAAAGTGAGGCTGATAATTCCTGTTGAAAAGACTTTTCCTCAACAAGTATTCTGGAGTAATCTTGGGGATATTAGTGGAAAATCAAAAGATTTAGAATAAGAAGCTAAATGTATGACTGCAACAGGAAAGCAAAGTGTAATTTTTGAACAGATTTTTTTATGACGTGTAAAATATTCAAATTTTTAAAAATCTGTAGTGCAAAAAGTGACCATTGCACAAGAATGCTTTCTTTTCGGTATTGCCGCTCTTCAACAATATTCACATGTAAATATTGTTTTTGGAAAAACTAAATAAACGGGCGACACAAAAACCCATAATTACGATAAAAGAAGTTGTCAGAAATAAAATTATTAACTTTTATATTTTAAACAACAGAAAAGCTACATAATAAACTTTTGAAATTTCATATCTACAGCAAATTTGAAGCTGTTTACTTTTGTATCTCGTCTTCACGACCTATTAACGTGCACCACTGATTTTGTCGTTTGATCTGCTCAAAATCAAATCTGATTTGCCGAGGACTGCTAAATGAACGACGCAGAACAAGAGAAAACTCATTTTACTGTTCTCAATTTTTCTAATATTAGGTGATATAACGGCAAACCAATAGGACTGCCAAGTAAACAAAAGAAATCCCATTGTTGTTTAATTCTTGCAGAACACTTCCAAAAACAATGCGCTTTAACCAGTGTTCCATATCATAGTTAAGCAAGAAATTGACATACTGTAAGAAAACAAAACTTCTGAACATTTTAAACTTTCTCATCAGGAAAAAGCAAGTAATTAGGCAAAGACTGATTAGAGGTGTTGAAATAATACAGCTCAGCGACACGGTTGAAAGAAACAGTGAGATGCTAACGCTGAGCAGCGTTTTATCAACAGTTACAGTCTCAAATGAAAGTGATTGTTGTTACATTTTTGTTGGTGTTGGTGCAAAAATTTTTTCGTCAAATTAGTCGATACAAAATGATAAAACTGTCGACATCGGTAAAATTCAAGTGAAGTATTAATTTCATGTGCATGAAAACTGAACTACAATTTGTGTAAATGATTGTGTAACTTTTATAAAGAGTATTTTGAACAAAAATAAAAACTTTTTAATAGGTATTTGACGTAAAATAAAACTGCTAATCGAATCAACGTTTTCCCAAAATTTAAAAAAAATATTCTTTATTTATGGAAGTAAGTGCACTCAAATATAACACAAGTTCTGTTTAAAACAGTATTTTTAATAAAGAGAACGAAAAATAGAGTAATTAGAATATGCTATTGCATTTAGATACTCGACCAATTCAAAAGCACTGAAGAATTTTGGCAGCAATTTGACTTTTCAAAGCTTGGCATAATGTTCGTTAACGATAATGTTTTTAATACAATAAAACTTTGATAATTGAGCACCACAATTTGTAGAGCGTACAAATGCTGATAAGACAAAAATTAATTGAAAGCAATAGTTTTGGCACTTTTTCAATGGCAGGTTGCCACTCAAGTAAAGAAGTTTATAGATTATTAATCTGTGTTAAACTAGCATTGCCTTTTAAAACACCTTGAATAAAGCTGTTTCTAAATTTATTTCGTTTCTCTTTTTTTTTTTGACAAAAATAACCAAAGGAATAATTGTTTTCTGGTTTTTATTGCTTCTTACTGATGCTGTTTCAGAGAAATAGTATACGGTGAAAGAGCAGAGGTAAGACAGAAGCGGAAGTTTGTAATACGATTAAGTGCAATTGAGTCTTCAGAAAACAGATGGTATTGTTTTATGCATTGCATTTGAAATATTTAGTTGTAAATACACATATATTAACCTTTAAAATAAATTTCAGCCGTCTATGAAAAAAGCTGTAATAACTGCATCAGTCAAATAGATTTACTGACTTACCGCGTATAAATTTATATATATTCGTTCATGTAATGAAGCCTACAAATTCTGCTTTTGCAAATATTAATAAAAAACGAAATAATTTTTTTTTCAAATTTTTATTACACTAACCTCTTTCGTTTCTGATTAGTCTGCTTGTAACCTCGTCAGTTAGTACCTATTTCCGATTCATAAAAAAGTTTGCTTTTTTTGCATATAAAACAGATTTTTTACTGAAGTCGTCATAAATAAAAAACAAAAAAAGTTTATTGGTTGAATGTCTGAAGCTTTAAGTAATATTGTTGAAAATTGTAAGATAAAATAATTTTAATGGAAACCAAAACGAATTTACGCACTGTAATAAAGTGATATTAATGAAAATAACAACTTTAAAGACAGAGCAATTTGAGGTCAATCATTAGTCAAAAAAATTACGTTTTTTTGTCTCAATATTAACACATTAAAATTTGCATAAATTTTTTATTGATGATCAACCGACAGAGGTAAACAGAAATTAGAAACGTAGTTCAACTGCTATAAATTTGTAACTTTTCGTTTTTGTCTTAATTTCAGATTCAAATATAGAAACTATCAGAAAACAGGCGAAGGACCGACCAAAT